GCGTCTTAGGGCCGTAGTGCGGTAGTGACACTTTTCCGGACATGNGTCCCTATACTCAAATGTTTTCTACTGTTGCACTGAATAACCCCTAGAAGTTTGATCCCATAGTTCTGAAACACCCTGTATATATTTCTATATATATATATATCTTATTAATTTTCTATCGGCCCTCTTTTGTCGACTTGAACAATCACATAACGTTTGTGTGAATTTTTTGCGTACAACAATGAGTGCGGAGAATAGATTATTATATCGGAAAAAAATAGACGAGAATCGGAGGACAACAAAAAAAAAAAAAAATTTCTCCGGTGCACTTTCGAATCAAAAGGACCGCGAGGTAATTCCCCTCGCGAAATCATTTTCTCACTGTCAATCACCAGCGAATACTGAACAAAGTGCACAAAGAAAAGGGAGATCGTCGTGAAATATAATGATAAAAATCGATGGATAAACGGAAGCAGCAGATCGAAATATGAAGCAGTCCGCAAAAAAAATCGCCGAGACAAAAATCATCTCTGCCTCCCTCTCTCCGCAATCTCCACACACTTCTTGGCTCTTGACATATCAGCGAAGAGAACCATATAATAGACGAACAAAAGGGAAGGGGGAGAGAGAGAGAGAGAGAGACAGCGGCGCATATATATCGTTTCGGCAGGACTCGCGGATGACGTTTGCTCTTGCCGCCACCGGGGTCGGTCCATTCCACACAAGAGTTCCAGCTCTCTTCGCTTCAGTCGCGCTCCGCCTGTCGACGTTTGCGTTGCGGCTCTTTCGCACGTTCCTCGAGCAGTCGCACGCGGTGTGTGCCGGCTCGCTTCGATCTTTTTTTTTCTTTTTGTCCGCACGGTCGATACGCACTTTTTCCGAATTCTCGCGTTCTATGTCAGATCAATCGTCGCTTCTTTCGTTGTATCACGAGTAAGTTTCATCAGGTGAAAAAAAAAAAACAGAAGTGTCATATGCGAAGAATTTCTTGAGCGAAAGTTAATTTGCATAATGTAAAATAAAAAATAGAAATAATTTGTTTTATCGCGAAAGAAAAGAACAGCGTTAAAAGGTTTTCTTTTGTTTCGAAAAATATCGAGTCGAGTAAGTAAATTATTTTTGCGTATTTGGAAACTGTATACGTTTTTCTCGGTGAATGTTGCGACAAATGTTAAATGTCAAGCGGTTGCGAGTGATGTCAAGTAGTGGGGGGATTTTTGATAAATTAAATTTATCGCCACATGTCAAAACTGCATTAAAAAGTCTCTGTGTCAGCGTATAATGACATGTCACCGTATCTAATCTCTCGAAACAAATTGGATTTAATTAACACGCGCGTTTATGCAAAACCGCATTGCATCTGACACTTCAAAAAATTCAAATTTTTTATTTCCCCGTTTCTTCTTTCACAATACGACTTGATTTTCTCAGACGAATCTCATCGAATCGGACAGAAACGAACAATTGACAATACGGAATAAAACGAAAAATCGTCAATCATGAACGGAGTGTCGAATAAGTGCGCGAAGCTGACCTCGTTCGACGATGAGAATGACAAGCCGATGATGATGAAAAAGCCGTTATCAATGAGAACGGTTTCGTGGGGCGAAAGTATTGAGGATAGTGATCTGGAAGTTCCCGGAACCCCAAGAACACCGCGTACATCCACAACGAAAGGTATATTCTATCTTAAAACACCTCGCGTTCCTGTCAAAAACCTATCAAAAACATTCAGAGACGCCTTGAAAGAAACATCTTTCTGTCGTATTAATCGCAAGGTTTTTTTTTTTCAACATAAAATTAAATATAACTTTACACAATGTGAACTGAATCAGTCGATCTGCAACTACTGCTGATTTTTCGCTGAGTAAAGCGCGTACTCCTTTCTTTCTCTCTCTCTCTTTCTTTCTCTCTCTGAAAGAAATGCAGAAAGTTCTACGTGTAAGATTGATAATGAAACTGCTGTATAGTGGGAGCACCGTTTCGTCACAAAGTCTTAGTCTCTTCGGTTTTTGAAACGATTAGCAGATGCAAACAGAACGACGTAACGCTTGTTACCATCTCGTCGTCATGCTATTACGTCAGATTTAGATAAATGTAAAAATTTTAATCGAGACTCTCTTTGACTGAATTTATATAAACTGTAGAGCTGCTCCGAGATGTCACGTTTAATTTATGAAGTAACATCTGGGAATTTTTTATTAAAGTATTTTATCATTTTTATCTATTCTTTCCTGAGATAAATTGGTTTAACAGTCACTAAGTTCAAATATCAGAAAAATGTTTTTATGTTTTCGAAAATAGGAAACAATTATTGGATATTCTGTTCGAAGTTAAAGAAACACTTTGTCTTTGTTGTATTAGATATTTTTTAATTTTTAGATTAGTATATTTTTATATTAGTATCGATTATGCACTGAATAATTGCGACTTTTTTCTGATTTTTATTAATTTATAAAATAAAAAAAAAACAATTTGTTTTATCACGCATTAAATTTTATGAAATATCTGAAACTTTTTTTCTCTCTCTCTCTCTCTCTCTCTCTCTCTATCTATCTATCTATCTATCTATCGATCTATTTCTATCTCTTTGTTTCCATAATCATTAATCACACCACTCTGTTGAAACGATAAACAAGTATGGACAAATCTTGTCGAGTACAGTTATGATAATGTGCGACATATGACTATCTAATCTTACGAAAATTTACACGAGGCGCGGCAGGATGCTCAGGATGGTAGAAATTCAGCGGACAAAAACCAATGAATCACCTAACTTTCTCATCCATATTACACAACAATTAGCGACGCTATTTCAAAACGCGTCGCTTCAGGGAGCAAAAAAATTCAATTTTTCAATTTGTGTGATATTGTAATTGAAAATATATCACGTCTTTCAGTGTCTTGAAATTTTGAGTAGAAACTTACAAAAATAAAGATACAGCATAAAGATTTTTTCAGGTAACAAGATCTCAGGTGCAACTTGCACACGCTGTATAATTAGAGATTTTTAATAAAATTTGTGCGATAGAAAAATATACTTCTTTCAAAAATCACACAAATGGTAAGAATCTCATTGAGCAAGCAAGAAATGATTCTTACGACGCACTTCACAAGACAATGAGATTTTACTACCGCGTATACAACATCGCGTAATAATGTCAAAACGCTTGCTATTATCCGCGTAATTAAAAAATCTCGATAATCAGATCAAGTCCTTGTCAAATTGAACAATTTCACCCCTAATGAGCGCTTTGTCGCACGAATGTCGACACTGGATTCAATTACATGGTTCATTAGGCGACCGTGGTAACTAAGTTTACAACGTGGAGAATATACGCGCTTCTCTCGTCCTCATCTCGTCGTCGTCTTAGAAAATCCGATCGCTTTTGCGAGTCCGTGAATAGGGCACACGCGAAACTCTGAGTAGCAGTGTTTTACCGAACACTTTCTACGCGCTGCTTACGTGCAAATTCGAAATGCAAACTGCAATATGTCCTAAGAATCGCGTCCTTACATGACAAATCGCATTTCTTTCAACAAATACGTAACGAGAAAGAGAAAAAATACAATACTCGCGAAGGGAAGTGTGATTCTTATTAATTAAATAACACAAATTGCGCAATTGCGGCGTAGGTTGCGTTGTCGTACAATCCGTCAGTTCATTGGTGAATTAACATGAAACACTAATTGATTAACTCAATCAAATGTGAATCCGACTATAAATGTAATATCGATATAGTTTTCACGCGCCGATAAATGCCGAACAACTTAATTGCTCACACGCGTCGATTTTTCGCTACTACGAAGATGCGCGAGACACCGAGGTCATGACACGCGATAACGAAGATGTTAGCAAGTCTCCTCCGTCGCGTCATTGTCGAGCGAAAATACCGATCATCACGTGAAGAAAAACAATACGTATCGATCATCGGAATTTCACGATCGTTTCGAGCGATTTATTTTCAATAACCCTGGATTTGGTCGTGTATGCTTTCAGGTCACGAAAAATGCATGTTCCATCACGATCTGGAACTGGACCATCGACCACCGACGCGAGAGGCCATGATACCGGAAATGTCTCGCAGTTACAAACTGCTTCTGAGCTCGCTGGGCGAAAATCCGGAGCGACAAGGACTGCTAAAGACTCCGGAACGTGCCGCAAAAGCGATGCTGTTCTTCACGAAGGGATACGATCAGAGTCTCGATGGTGAGTCTTATCACTCGATATTATTGAACGACACGCTGCAAACATGAGCTTGTGACATATGTTCAGGAATTATGACCGTAACAAAAAAAAAAAAAGAACGGCGAAGCAAAAATAGTGCAGCCTTGATTTGATGGCTAATGCGAGGTTGCGTACGAGAGACAAGATCCGCGTATGGAATGAATTTTACAAGAGACAATTACACGCGATCGCGGTCCATCGGTTTTTATTGCTCAATATAGCGACCGATCGCTCGCGGCGGCTGCTCTACTACAAATCTACCTGTTCTTTCCTTTCTTCCCTAACGTTGCAATTATTGAAATGAATTGTTACGACATTTCGCGTCTCGATTCATGGCCAACAAGATCATTTTTCAATCGTTGAATCGTTAATGTTCTTTAACAATAATTAATATTTCTATATCAAGAGAACCATATATGTAGGTATATATAAAAAAAATATTTATTTGTTACATTACATTAGTGATGTAAAACACCAAACTATAATAATAAAAACATACGCGAAAAGCGCGATGTATGTGACTTCGTTAAAATCCATATTGAGCTTTTAAAGCAGTTTCGCTGCCTGACAATTTCGTGGAATTTTAAAAAAAGTTCAGAACGCATAGAACAAGGTTCCGGAGAAAGGCCGCAAAGTCGAGACTTTAAGAGAGAGAGAGAGAGCAATGCGGTAATTAACTGTCGCGGGGTAACCAGATTTCTTTTATTATACGAATAATACGACGCGGAATTGTATAGAGAGAGAGACGTGCGCGTCTCACTACTTCTCTCGTGAGAGTATAGCACAATTTTTTATTTTTTTTACTTTCACACAACCTGCCCTCTACTGAGTGAAGAAGGACGGGAAAGAGGGAAGAAAAAGAATGAGACTCGCCAAAGAGGCGAGATGGGGTGGGATTTAAGTGCGATTCATAGAAAGGAGAGCGTAAAGCTCTTGATATAAATGGGAGGTTCTCTCCCAGAGAAACGCGCGCGCGTGGCACAAGTTGAGTGAAAAATTCTCCCTCCTATATACCTTTTTTCTCTTTTTTTCGCGTGTGACGTGCAGCGTCAATATCAATGCGTTCGAACAATTGCAAGATGCGTTAAGATTTGGAGGAAGAATCTTGTTTCACACAAACAAAACGATGCAAAAATGTAATAACTGAAATATACTGATAACAATTGGATCTGCCACTAATCTAGTCGGATTATTGCCGTCGGATTTATTGAATCGCACATCTGTTTTTATTCAACAATGTCATATCTAATGAGTGAGTGACAGCGAGTGACACTCTCTCTCTCTCTCTCTCGCGCGCGCGCGCTTTGTTGGAAATAATTAATTAATTTCCTAATGTGAAGTAGCGAATGTTTGTATCATCCGTTCCGTCGTTTAAATCGCTCGCGAGAAACTCGTGTCAGCAAGCTATTTCTCTTTCGAGGCGTTTGCGATAATCAAGCATCGTTCCGAGCGAAACGGGGAAGCAAGTAGAAGTGATAAATGAGGACCTTTAATTCACTTCGGCTTAGCTCGAACAGCCTCGAAGAGACCCTCGAGATAAGCTCTTACGGTTAACACGGTCCGGTGAATTCGAAACGAGAGGCACTTTCGCTATGAAAGCTCAAACACCCTCGCCCACCGAATTATTCTCTCGAACAGACAATTCCAGATACTGTGGCTTTTATCTCGTCTGCTCTTGAATTTTCTTTAATAAGTTTAAGTTTCCTCGTATATATAAGATGTTCCCACACAGAACAAAAACTTCTTTTAATCGTCAACAGCTTCATACAATCTATCTAACAGATGTCTAATGGAGGTTTTGTTCTGTGTGGGTTTCTTATCGATAAAAGTTTTACGGAAGGAGCATTCTTCGTGATGAAAAATGTTAAAAATGATATGACGCGAGAGAGCGAAGGAGCTTGTAAAAATTTAATCGAATCGTCGAAAGCCGATCACGTTTGAGCCATCGGGTCGAAAAATCGAGCTCTACACTCGCGAGAGAGCACTCGACGCGAACAGAGAAAAGGAAATTGCCTAGCGCGCTTGTACCGTAGACGCGTGACGCGTGAGACGTTGACGTGATCCTGCTTGAGAGTTGTGCATTTTCTGGAAAAGCGGAGGGATAAATTAAATCGGGAAATTCAATTATTAAACGTCGGGAAATTATTTTCTGTCACAAGAGAATCGGATTAACGTACTTTTCTCTCTCGTTTATATTTTGCAAGAAGTTGTGTGTTAGTTTCGATCTCGCGCACACGAGTTACGAACACGGATGGAAAATTCTTGGGAGCTTATATAACGCGATGATTGTGTCTCACCTCCCGCAGTGAACGCAATCGGGAGAGCGAGAGTTCGTTTCGTCTCGTTGTCGGTCATTGCGAAGGTGTTTCTTGTTAAAGTTGCCATGGAAACCGTGCGGAGAGCACCCCCATTATCTAGCTCCACCGACACGTAGCTGACGACCGTTCGCTCGTACGTACGTACGCAACCACCACTGGGATCCATTCGGTGCAGTAAGTAGGTCAATATCGGGCAAATCACAACGATAACCCGCCCGCGTCGGGAGAACGAAAGAATATTTCTTCTCGCGACTCGAGGGAGCAATACACGTGGCAACGATTTCTTTTGTCTCTCTAGTTTCTAAATTAAAGCTGCATCGAGATCGTGCGTTCTCAATCATTTGATTCGCACGACTGAAAAACAAAAATTTGATTATTTTGCAAAATTTAAATTTTATCTATTTTTTATTCTACGCGAATGAAGTTACTGATAGAAGTTGCTTGGTTTTTTTGTTGCAGAAGTAATTAACGATGCGGTGTTCGACGAGGATCACGACGAGATGGTGGTAGTTAAGGACATAGAGATGTTCAGCATGTGCGAGCATCACTTGGTGCCGTTTTACGGCAAAGTATCAATCGGCTATCTTCCTTGCAAAAAGATACTGGGTCTCAGCAAGCTCGCCAGGTATTTTTATTGATTCGCGCGATATCTATTCGTGATTTATATTTTTCTACAAAAAAAAAAAAAAAAAAAAAAAAGACTTTGTTCGGTTTTTTTTTGCTAGTTTTTTTCTTTTTTAAATTCCCAGCACTCGGCAATTTCGTCGAGCTGCGCCAGAGACTTTTAGCCTTGATCGGTGACATATTTAAAACAGAAAGAAAGATCGAGACTATGAGTCTTTTGGTCTCTCCTAAGACTGTGCACACTTTCACGCACGGTAACGGAGTCGGGTTACACTTGTTAAACGCCACTTAAAAACCGAGTAAACGACCGATAATGTAAACTATTACACGATATACGATACCGACAATTTCGAACGCCGGTGTTTCGAAAACACCGTTAGCTTTTTCACAGCTTTTAGCGTCAACAATGCGCACGCATTGCGCACACACGACAGTTTCTAGATAATGGAAAGAAAGAAGGATAGTATATTTGCGTATACTCGACCTCAATTTTAAAACGGGAGATACTTCGATGAACTCTTGGGAATAACCTTGAGCAAAAAACTTTTTGTTCTTCAGGATCGTGGAAATTTTCAGCAGACGCTTACAAGTCCAGGAGCGGCTTACCAAACAGATTGCCATGGCGGTTACGAAGGCTGTGCAACCTGCGGGAGTCGCAGTTGTGGTCGAGGGAATGTATGTATTTCTTTTACTTCTCAAATAAACTCAGTTTGTAATATCGCTTTTGCATGCCAAGCAGCGCGATCACATTTCTCCTCTGTTCCTTTCCACGTTCAAGAAACGAAACCGTGAGGAGCGCTTGGCACTTCTCGCATATATATTTTTGCGACCGCTTCGCGATAAAAAAAATTAACTTACGCGTTCAATCTACGCGATGAAACAATCTTTTATTAAAATAAAATGCTGTTTTTGATTTTCGAACAAGTCGAAAGTTTTGCGAAAAATCTGCAATAGAGAGGGGATTGATCGCGAACCGATTCAGGAAATATCGCGGTGATATATTGTACAACGTTTGAACCAGCTGAGAGATTTCCTTTCAATCCGCAGTCCTGGGAAAGGACTCTTGGAGTATAGAATAATGTTTTGCAGGTGAAACGATCGCATTCCGCAAAAGAGCACGACCTTGTGCTACTGCTAAACGCGTGCACACGAACGTTGCGAGACGTGTGTGGCGATAGAAGTTTTGCGATAATTAAAAGCGTTCACATAACGATCCGGTTGTTTGCGCGTTACTACACGGCGCGCGCATTATAGCGAACCGATTAATCTCCGACGGGGGATGTCATCGAGTGTCACCTCGATGACTATAGTCGGAGGTTATTAATCTTCACGTGTGCAATTAACATCGAAAATCTGATCGGAACTGTATGTGATCGTGAATAATTCAAGAGAAAATCAGCGCCACGTGCGCGCATGTGATTCGATCGTTGATTTACATTTTTCGCATTTTTTCCTCGAATCTCGATAATAACCGCGGAGAAGACGTCAATAACAGAATAGCGCAGGAATCAATTGGGAAATCGGATCGCGAGAAATGATTCGTAACACTATTGCCGAGGAAATATTTTTGTCGGTATCCACGTTATTTATAAACATCTCGCGAATACACGTTTGGTGATTATTGGCGCTATTTCGGTTCAATATTCGCGTTATTATTTTATTACCGAGTCCCAATGAGGATAATTTCTCAGCATTATTTTTCGCCGCGTCCCGAAAATGACAAATCGATAACACGTAATAACATTATCGATACTATTTTCGTTCGAACCGACGGTATATTTACGGTTGATCCGCGAATATAATTTATCAGAACCCTCTTCCGCTGTCTCGCGTTCTCCGATTCGCTCTGCGCGAAATTGAGATTTATTACGTCAAAATGCTAAATCTCTCGAACGGAAGCTATTATTGCGATTTTGCGACGGAAAACGCTTTTCTCGTTTCTCAAAAAAGCTGGAAAATTTACTCGCGATACACGGAGAGTCGCAGTTTAGCATTAAATCAAATCTTATACCGCTCGAGATTGCAAATCGAAACGGACGATAAGATCAGATGAATTAACGGTATAACACGCAGTTTTCTTATCTAAAACTTTGTTATACAATAAATTCACGACGCACGTACGCGTGTTTAATTGTCGAAGAAGAAAAAAATTCCTTTACATACGTGTTTTGCAGGCATCTCTGTATGATTATGCGAGGTGTACAGAAGATAAATAGCAAGACAGTTACCTCGACGATGCTGGGCGTGTTCCGGGACGATCCCAAGACCCGCGAGGAGTTCTTGAATCTGGTACACAACAAATAAACGGTCGGAAACGCACGTCGCGGGTGTGTGCCGCTGGCTGGAGGAACCACTAATCTAATGAGAGCGGTCATCATCCGAACGTGTTTCATCATCCTACCTCGTTGCAAAGGCCTCGTCCGAGGGATTCCGGAAAATCGCCGTCACTCCGGAAGTCTCTCCTTGTGTGTTCCGTTTATAATTTACCGAAATTTTATTAATTTACATATTTGAGAAACGCAGCGCGCGTGTTTTTTTTTTTTTTTTTTTATTAATTTTTACTTCGAGAGAAATTTATAGCGCGCGTAACGAGACCGCGGCGACGGTTCTCGTTTGCTTCTTCTCTTTCAAGCGCGATCGGGAAGTTCACGGCCAGATCACTGTCCGGATCGCGAACATAGAGATGCGAATAGTGCGCATCCCGCGCGTTTACAAGTAAACGCGCTTAAACTGCTGATCGAGTGACACTGACAATAGCAACGATTGGCAATATAAATATTAGCGACAGTTCGTTTTGTGAAAATCGCTCGCAATTCGAAGTAACGACGATGATGCAGAATTCGCGAGCGGTTTGTCCACAACCGAGGACAGCGAAGAACGAATGAGCAGCGAAATAATAGATGACTAACAGCGGTAGTTTGAAAGTCAAGTACTTAAATGGCAAAGATAAATGATCATGAGAACAATTTTGTCGAAAGATCTTTTCTATTTGCTGCTCCTTCAGCAGAGCAACTTCGTTCCCTCGCAGTTGTTAGGAAAATTATCATCGAAAGCGTTGCTGCCTTGGTCGACACAAACTCGCGCATCCAAGGAATTGACAAGCTTCTCTTGTGGCAATAAATTTAAAGATGCATCTCGTAGATAAATTCCCTCGGAAAATACTCGATTCCTTCGTTTGTTTGTGTCGATCCGGCGATCTTTCGGTGTTAAAGTTTTTTTAAATCTTCGTTGAACACGTGTCTTAATAACATTCGACATCTTATTGTGCGCGCTTGCGTAATTCGCGACTGCGAAACTCGACAGCCATGAGTTTCGCATTGTTGCCGATTTGTATATCGCGCGTATATTTTGTTCGGTATTTTTATATTCAGTATGTAATAAACGCACTTGATGATCAAGATAGTACAATGAAACCTAAAATCTGTCCTTTACCGAAGCCATCGAAACAGACATTCGTATATATTTCGGTAATAATTTTAAATTTGAAAAGAGATTGTCACTCAAAGTTACACAAAGAAAAGTTATTTGCATCACCAATGCGTTTATTATTATTATTTTTTTATATTATTAGACAGTTAATACATTTCTATCTTTTTGAACAATTGTTTTAGTTCTTGCGTGTTTACGTTTGAGACACAAAATAGCAGTTTCTTCAAAGAGATTTGCAAATGCGTCGCAGAATGCGCACTGTTTCAGCCATGCACTGCGCATCGTGACGAAACATATAATTGTTTTCGAGGTTCGCACTTTATTTGCTTATCCTTCCTACCGAGCGAGCAAATTGCTCTTCCGGTAGATTTAACTTTCCCTGTTTTCTCCGGGAAAAGTTAAATTACCAGCTCTCGATCATCGCGTTGTGGTTTATAAGCCGAGATGCGTTCATTCCGCAAAGCAATTCCGCGAACTTATGTGTTCATTTCTCACGTATTTAAATCCACTACATTTACGAATTAATTTAAGAAGATGATTTATTTAAGATTGTGAACATATTTTTTTTTTTTTAACGAAGTTTATATGTTACCGTTACACTCTTTACTTTGTGTGGGTTTGTGGCTAATCTAAAAAAAAAAAAAAAAGCATCGCACGTTACATCGAAAGTTTTAATTTATAAAAGTGCGATACATTTTATTGTATGTACATATCGACTTTTTGTTAGAAACAAGCGTGCCGAAACTTCCTGCCTCGACAGACCGAAGCCGAAAATGCGAGCTTTGGTATATATAATTTATCAGATTATATTTTCTGTCGTAAAGGAAAAGCAAAGAGATACATAGTTCGAATTACATTTGTGAAAAAGCAAACGTTCAATATTTGTAATATTTTTCTGACAACGTATTTGAATAAAGTTATATTTATATTTTCGAAACGAGGCGCGCGCTTCTCTCACCTCATTGCTCATTTTCCTTCTTATTCCTACTTTTACGTAAAAACCTGTCGCTAAACAGACGGAAACTACATTTATATTTTTATATTGCTATAAATATTCTAGAAATAAAACATTTACAGAATTGCATAAAAAATTTTAAAAAATATATATTTATATATATATATATTAATATTTATATATATTTATAAATATAAAAATATAATATTTATATATATAAAAATATTTATATATATTTATATATATATATATTAATATATATATATTAATTATCCAAACTCTGAAAAAGAAAAGAAATATCACTTCGCATTCTATTTTTATTAATGCTGCCAATCGCATTAATTTTTATGCCAACTTGGCATTTAACATATACGCGTGCTGTTGAAGTTTCTTGTGCAAAATATATTTGTGGAACAAATCAAGAATCCGACTTATACTCTTGATGCCTAAATAATTTGCGTCTACTGTTGTGATACAAATCACTTTTCGCGAAATAACGTTCCCAAATTTCACACTAATTTCCTTCGTGAAATCCAGCATCCGTTTCTTTCTCGCCGAACTAGCGATAAATCACGGGTGTTAATTAGACACGACATTGGATAGCGATAAAATCACCGATTAACGCGAGATTCCAAGACATCGTTAAAACAAATATATGTACACAAACAAAATCAAAGACACATTTCGATGTCTTGCATGGCACTCTCGTATTTCAAGTATCAAAAATGTTTTACATTTTTTTCAATTTCTAAAAAATGATACAACGAAAAAAATATAAAACGTAGACTAATTATTATTCAATGATAATTGCGCTTTTTTTTTGCTTATTTCGAAGCTTACGATGTCTTAACTTTGCCAGAACCTTGCTGGCTTCGCCGAGATTGTCACGCGCGCACTTGATTATCTCATCTACGTCTCTGTGTTAATGAACAGAAATTTTCTTCTCTTAAAACACAAAAATGAAAATAATTGAATCAATATACCTGCATTTTTTTTGTTACAGTTAAAGCAATTCACCCAACAGATTCCAGCATCCGAGACAAGCTACACGAATCGCGTGTGAGAATACACTGTTCGTTTCGATCAGTCGTACTTTCTTCCAGTTGCTCTAATCTTTCTAGAGATGACGATGATGGCGTCATTAATTGAAATGCTCCGAATGTTCGAGAAATAGAGTCTGTTAGTTTAAGAAAATATTCCTCCAGAACATCTGGATGATCCGCATCGTCCGGAAGACAATTGCAAGCCTTCGAATTAATCTCAGAGTTCATTTTTCTATATTCCGTAATTTCTGATGTTCGTTGATCGTAATAAAATCCGATTGTGTAAAAGAAAGAGAAGAATATTTATTTGGGGTTGAAGAAAAAAAATAATAAAAATATAAATTACTCTAAAACCTTACCAAGTAAAAATATATTAGTAACGAAAAGTCTGACGAAATGATGGTTGTGTGCGCGTGTGTTTGTTACTTTATTTTTAAAGAACTAGCACAACACAGGCGCGCGTTACACGCGCGCTATTATAATTTTATGTGATATAACAGACACGCGCTACGCGCGCGCTATTACTTTTACATTACATTCTATATATTACTTTACTTATCTTCAAGAAAGAAAAATAATAATTAACAAACAAGT